TAAACTCTCCACACACGCTTCACATATTTATACAGTACAGCCCCTCCTCCTGATGTCCCGCCTTCCACTCCCCATAGGATGGAACTTTCCCTCCAAACCCATGACAGACAGGTAACATCAGTGCTGTATGTAACATGAACCACTTCTTGTGAACTTGGACTGTTTTCTTGTGGTGTTTAACAATTGCTCGGTTGTTTTCAATTAGTACATAGCTGTTGCCTTTGTTTCTGCAAAACCCAATTTAACTCATTAATTTCTGAAAATTACCATGGGGGGGTGAGCTTCAGGGTGAATGAGAAAATTTAAATTCCCAAAAATACAGCAGGGCTGATGACATTATTAGCCTTATGTGGCATTAAGTTACGCTGTTGGATTTCAGCCAATATGTTTTATGTTTTAAAAACCGGGAGGTCAATTAAGCCCAATACAGCTTTCTCATATTTCTGTGCTTCACACTATGGGATACTATTGCCCCTGAAAATTTCTTTGTAACTATGTTGTTTTACTGAAAAAGGAAAAGGTAATTGCATTTTGGAGCTGTTTTTTTATTTGCAGACAGTATTATGCTAAATTCCATCCCCCCCCCCCCCCAACCCGCTTAGTTAGGGCTGTAGTTTTCTTGGGTTCATTGATTCTCCAAAGCACATTTATACAATATACTTTTCTAACACCCTCCCCCTTTCTACAGCCCCCAATGGTTTTGCTACAATAAAAGGTACCCCAAGGGAGCCTCAAGACCTTTGAGGAAGGGAGTTGGACATTTTTAATTTCTGAAAAACTGCAGTGGCCGATGACAGCATCAGTTTTATGTGACATAAGCTTCACTGCTGGATTTTGATCACTGTGTACTTGACACGTATATGACCTAATTATACAAAAATAAACAGCACAGAATGAGATATAACTTACCTGTAGCAGGAACAACAAATATTGAATCTGCAACCTAAGCATATGCCACCCAAGTAGTATATGCAGAATCATCACATTTCACAACTGTTTTACAGATGAAACTGTTGCACGAAGGACACAATTTTGATTTTCTATGATGGTGTTGCCATGTTGCCTTGAAATCAGTGAAGTCAGCTCCCCTTTTTCTTTCTGTCAGCAGTGAGCTGAGGCTATCAATGTGTTTCGACTGAACTAACGTTTTGAAATAAATTGCCATTAGCATGGCACTGTCTGGCTCAGTACAATAACTAAGTGCTTGGGCAGAAGTGCTGAACAGAATCCATGTAGAGCCTCAAAGAAAAGAGCTCTTGTATGCTCTGGCATCTTAGGGCCCATTTTTATCAGCCATTAAGCTTGTTATCATCCCAGAAGAGTAAGGCACAGTCTGCTGGCAGATAAAACAGTAACCTTCCTGAAACTAAGCAGGTCATGATTTGGTCAGTGCCCAGCTGGGAAGTTTTCTTGGAACTCTGTGTATGTCATTGTCGGCTCTTTAATGGAGGAAAGGTAGGATATAAATGTGGCAGATAGATACATAAAATAAATATCAGTCTTCATGTCTCTTTAAACATTCCACCTGTGGTGGAGCAACCAAGCTCACTGTGACCTGTGATGCCCTCTTCTTTATCGCTTCCATTTTTGACCAACTATAAAGACATGAATTTGCAAGACTCACATCACACTTTTCCTACTGTAGCTAAATTCAA